CTGCAGTTCAGCGGTTCTAATCTCACCGGCTCAAGGTTGACTCATCCTTCCATCCTTCCGAGGTGGGTGAAATGAGGACCCAGACTGTGGGGGCAGTCTGGGTCCTCATGCTGACTCTATAAACCGCTTAGAGAGGGCTGAAAGCCCTATGAAGCGGTATATAAGTCTAACTGCTATTGCTAACTGCTATTGCTAGCTCTTCTCAAATTTTTATCCAGGCAAGTTTTTCTTAACTGCCTATTCTTCCAATGTCTGGTTCCATTTTCTTTTTCAGGCAGAAAAATGACTGGCAACTCACCACAAATACAAATCTGTCCCTACTGCAAAAAGCAGTTTAAACGTCTCAAGTCTCACCTGCCTCACTGTAAGATGGCAGGTAGTGAAGATTCAAGAGAAGCTTTGCCTCTTCTCAGAAAAGCCTGTGATTCTGCTACATCTGAGCAGCTAAGTACTGAGAAAAAGACACAGCAAATCAGAAGCTTAGAAACTCCTCCCAAAGAAGAAAGCAAAAAGAGTAAAACTGACTTGGTAACAAAGAATGGAAGAAAAAAAAATATTGGAGTAACTGGAACAGTTGTAAACAGCAATCTGGCAGAAGACAAAGATACAGAAAAGAAAATTAAAAGTGCTAGTGAAAAATTTCCCCAAACAAAGGAAAATAAACAAAAAACTTCAGAAGAGTTTTCAGCACCAGTAGATAAAAGGCTGTTTCCAAAAATAAATCTTCCAGAGAAGTTATCCACAGTCGAAAAAACCACTAGAGCCTCTTTACCTAAAGAAGAGATTATACCTGATCTTAGGTTAGAATCACTGACACAAAGTAGAAAAGCCACTTCAGAATCACATCAGAAACTCTGTGCAAAACAGAAGCAGAACATAGAGTCACTTGGAGAGCAGCGTGTGTCCCTTTCAACAAATAATTTCATTGAGAGTCTTCAACCAATTAATCAAGGTCTTGGTGGCAGAATAGAACAAATCACTACCTCTCATCATGTGACAGCATTAGAAAACAGATCTGAATCCTCTGGTCATAATAGATTGTCAAATGAAAATATTCTTGATAACAGTAAGACAGAACAGTGGCCTCTGAAATCAGGGTCAGAAGGAGCAAACATTGCTTCGGCCAACAGGCAGCAAATTATTACAGGCAATGTGGACAAGAAGAACATTTTAGAACTTGAAAGAAATGTCAAAAGTGGAAGCACAGAAAATGACATGTTCTCAATTAAAACATGCACATCACAGGACCGCGTTGTTGTAGACAGCTATGGAAAGGTTATCAGAGGTCCAGTCCACTTGCTTAAAAGTAAGTTAAATGCAAATTCCTTATTTCTCAAAGCAGAGGATTATCTTAAGGAACACCACATTGATCCAGATCCTAAGCCAAATATGTGTCCCACATTCACAGAAGTTCTCAGAGAAATGAGAATTGATAAAGCTACTACTACCAGTAGCTACTTAAGTGCTTTGGAGAAAAATGCATATTTGAGCTCACGAGCCTTTGAGACAAAAGAAGGTAAAAATTCAGTGACAGGTTTAAAAAAACTCTCGCTACAAGAATTAGAAGTCACTACTTTTCCAGAACAAAACATAAAACTACCTTCATTAGGACTGGAGTGGTTCTCTGAACTGTATCCCAATTATCAGAGGCTGGCCTCATTTTTAGAGAGACAATCAGAGTGGGATACCAAAATATCAGAAGTTCACATTCTGCTTTGTGGCAATAAGAAAGGTAAAAGTTTTTAATCGCACAAATTTCAAAAAAGGAATATAGCTGCTCAATGGATTGGTTCAAATAGTTATTAATTCATGAATGGTGTATGCTCTAAGAGACACAAATACAGGTAGTAGTCTTCAACTTATGATCACAGTTGAGTCTAAAATTTATGTTGCTGAGAAGTGAGAAATTTATTTTGAGTTTTGCCCCATTTTATGACTTTTCTTGCCATATTTGTTCAGTGAATCAACTGCAGTTGTTAAATTAGCAACACGGTTGTTAAGTGAATCTGGTTTCCCCATTCACTTTGCTTGTCAGAAGGTCTCTAAAGGAGATCACATGAGCCCGGGACACTGCAACCGTCATAAATATGAGTCAGTTGCCAAGCATCTGAATGTAAATCACATGACCATGGGAATGATGAAATGGTCATAAGTGTGAAAAATAGTCATAACTCACTTTTTTCAGTGCTGTTATAACTTTGGCCACTAAGTGAACTATTGTGAGTCGAAGACTACCTGTATTTATGTGCATAGTATAAATTACTGTTTGATAGAATCAGTATATTCTCTGGGACATATTTAATTTCAATTTGTCAGCCTAAATCAGGGCTGTCAAACCTCTGGCCCAGGGGCTGGATGAGTCACTTGCTGGCCACGCTGGTTTAACGAAGGGGGGAAAAAAGTCCCAATATGTCACATGACGTTGCTGACGCTGTGAGTTTGACACCCCTTGCCTAAATTGAATTTGTTGTGCCAGGGCAGACTAGGACAGTCTTTGAAATAGCATAATTTTTCAAAGGAACCAAGAATAACAAGATTATATGCTATAAGATATATATGTTTTTTTTTAACAAACTGAAGTTAGCATGATTTGCAGCATTTCTTTAAATTGAGGTTTACTTAAGAGGCTGAGAATGTTGTTCTAAGTCCCTCCTTGAGAGATGGAATGGCTGTTAAATAGATGTATGTGTAACATAAGTGTATAATGTCTGTTTTGTTTTTTGTCCTTATATATAACAGAATACTTGTGTGCGCAGAAATATTGTCATTTACTTTGGGGACGCAAGCAAACTATCTGTAGTATCTGCATAAAAGTCCTTGAAAATGTTTTGAGATCTTTTGTGGTTAATATATAATGCTGTATTTCAGAGCATATCCGTTATCACCTAGTGCAAAATACCTGCTATTAAGAGGTGAAAATTGAATCAAATGTTCATTTCTGGAATAATACATAGTAATAAAATAAATGATAGGATAATATTTTACATGCCTGAAATGTATTTATAAGATATTGCAAACTCTGTTCTGTTTGATGCATTGTGTTAGGCCAAAGCATATTTATCCATGACTTATTAAACAACCTACCATTGTCTGCGCTATCAGCACATGCCAAACCAAAGCTGCATAAGCCACATGGTAGCTTGGCATAGTATAGTCACCTAGCCACTCTTTTTCCTGCTACAGGCATGGCAGATTTTTAGAAGAAGCCACTCTACATGGATTGTAATGTAGAGGAAAATTGAGGATCAGATAATATTGGTTTAATTATAATATTAAATATTTGTATTTGGTTTTTTAAAAACCAGGTGTTATATTACTAGGAAACAAGAGAAAAAACATTCTTTTTTCTGCCGAAATGTTCTGCTCTGTTGTTTCCCTGCAAAGAACAGCATTAAAATGATTTCTTTAGACATTCTGCTTTCTAGATGTGCAGATCAAAATATCCCTTGTTTAACTATTGTTCTGAGCACAAAATGGAAGTATATTGGAAGTGTTTTAATCTTAAAATAGAGCTGTCCTATCAAAATCATTGTTCTAAGCCCAAACAGCCAGATTTGCACTTTAGGTGGCACATTTTATGCTTATGACAAATTAGAATAAAATGAAACATTGTACCTATTCGGAAGTGCAGTTTTATCACAAGCTTGCTTTTGCTGTTCTATGCAAGGTAGGATATTGTACTTCAAAGATTATCTTGAAAGCCAACATACTGCTATCTGTATCCCTACCGACTAAAATCCATGTTCAATGTATTGACACACATTCAGAATGAATGTTAGGAACCATAGTCTTATTTACTGGCCATCTATTTTGTTATTAAACTAAAAATAAACCCACCTATTCCAATGAACATTATAGCTTACATTGGAGGGAAGCATCAAATATTCTACCAGGAAACACTATAGTACCTTGGTGTCCCTGAGAAGAAATGAAAATATAGGTTATAGTCAGCCTTGGAAAGTTGCAAAGAGGGCTTGCATAAAATGTAAACCAACATCTAGCTGTTTTGTCTCTCAGTTCCTCTGGCAGAAAAGAACCTAAAGGATATCAAACCTGGGGGTCTGCCCCAGGGGATACTTGGAGCAACATTCAGAGGTGAGAGCAAGTTGCATTCTGGTTTAAAATAGGCGAAAGCTTTGTTATAACAACCAGGGACTAGCAGGAGAAGATGGCTGGAGTCCAGCTTTTGTTGTGAATGATGAAGGATTTCGCTTATGTCTCATAAAACTATTGTTCTCCAATAGCCTGGAATGGATATTTGAACAGGAACATCAATGTGAAAAAGTATGGATTGCCTGGGATTTCTCTGCTGCTGCTGGGCTTGTGTACCCTTGGCTATGCCTGGAGATATGATCATATTAGTAAGTGTTTCTTCCCTTGTATTTATGATTTTATCTGAGAAATGGATTATGTGGGTGTTGGTGGGTTTGGATTGGGAATGGGTATGTCAGTGGCTGGATTTGATTCTTAAGCCATTTAGTTACAGGCTGAATACCTTGCATGATTTTTAAAAGCCATGGTTTGTTTAGTTATAGTTTGTTGAATATGCATAGATTTATACGCTTGCAAGAAACATAAGTCATAATTTAAAAATTGCAAGTATTGATTCCTAAGCCAAACCCAAATAAATCGCATAGCTTTGTGTGGTTTAGAAAATAGTTTGAATTCTAACTTTTACTGCATAAATACATAACTATTCTTATATATCACACTGTCACAGTGCAGAATTATACGCTATTGTGTTTGAAAGTTAAGTTCTAGTAGAATTTACTCCCAACATTGGATGGGGCTTTAGGTATTCATATTTATTTGAATATTAGGGAAAATCAACAGGGAAGTTACACTGATGTAGATATATCTGTGATTCAGTGCATATAATTATTATAATAATAACTTGTTTTTTGCCCCTGCTGCTGAAGAATTTAAGCGGAGGAAAGGTCCGGATGAAGATGCAACAGTATAAATATTACACATTTGCGTACTCAGTCATGCACCTTACCTTGGATCTGGTCAGTAAAGTGGACATTAATGAAAATATTTTGACTAGTAACTTGGCATCTCTTTAGAAAAGATAATCTCCCATGGTATGGACATTTTTTTGTTGATAAAAAAAATCTCTAATCCTGATTTTTTCTGGGCAGGATCTGTCTGTTTTGTACCATTTGCAGTGTTATTTGCGATTTCTTTTGACCTGTGGAATGCAATTAGAGGAGAAGATGCTCTCTGGGATGTCCTCTGCCACCTGGGGCCTCTGCAAGTGCTGGGAGTGGAAGAGTACAGTGGGCCAGGTCCAGGAGATGGTCTCAGTGGACCTTAGTGGGGGGAGACAAGACATCCCACTAAGGGTACATTAGGGCTTATTTTCTTCCCTGTCCTGTTAAATATTTATGTGAAACTGCTGAGAGAGATCCTCCGTTGGTTTGGTAAAGATGACATCAGTGTACTGATGAGCCATAGCTCTTTATTACACTGGAAGCTTAACTGGGGAGCTGTGGAAGTCCTGATTTAAATGGAACAAAGCTGACTGAATTGAAACCTAACAAGACAGAGTTCCTGTTCTTTTCATTTATTGTGAGGCAGGTGATTCCTTATAGCAGCTATCCCCAACCTTTGTGGTTTGGCAGGCCAACACAATGCACATGCAGCCCTTGTACGAGCAGTGGGCCAGTGTGCATGTGAATACTCACCAGCTCACCGCTCGTGCAAGTTGAGCTGCGTGCACCTGCAAGCTCCAGCCATCCATTCACGTGGCCCAATTCTGAATAGGCCAGGTTGGGGACCCCTGCCTTATAGAGCCAGGCTGTAAGCCCTTTTTAGCTTTGAATTCTGAAACCAACTTTTTGAACCTGATATATGTAGAAAATAATTACCAAGATCTTTATATTCTAGAGTAATCTTCATTGTTTTCATCTAGCTGCTACAGACTGAACTTTCCAGATACTTTACAGGTATAGTTGTATATTTGGTATTTTGCAATGGCCTCAGTAATACGTATCCAAAATGTAACTTTGTTAAAAAATCAGACTTTTTTTAGGAGTGGCTATTGTGCAAATACAGACCTTACTATTGCTGTCCCCTTGAAAGTCCAGTCACAACACTGAATCAAAGAACATTCCTGTCTGTGCTTTAGCAGTAGCACAACTTCCATCCCAAATATTCCAAATCAAGAGTGTCAAGCCAAACTTTCACCTAACCATCAGCATTGACATTTTGTAGAATTCATTTCGGTTTGTTCTTTAATTCAATGTACTATTTTGCTCAGGCATCCTGTCAGCCACTTCCTTGTATTAAATCTTGAAGAACGAGGTAATACTAGTGCCCAGCAGCTTCTTGTAGCCATCTAATAAAATATCTTCCAGAGGATTGTCTTGTTTTCAACCAACTAAAGTGTGAATTGCAATGGTTAGCCCAGCTGAAATGGGTTCATTTCATGGGTTCATTTTAGCCCAAATATCAGTATAATTCAGCTAAAGATTTGAGACAGGTGTGTTTGGGGAAGCATGGAATCATCTCCAGATACAGAAAAGGCATCATTTGTCATTGTATTTGAAGGTAACACACAAGATACAGGGGAAGCTGTGCCGCATGCACAATTTTGCATTCTAGCACTTTATTACCACCTACCATCAGGCCCATTACTTGCTTCCTGCTCAGTTGTCAAAGTGCATCAATGTTAGCACCAGCGAGCATCTTACAAACAAAGCAGTGCGTGTTTGTCACAAAATTTGGCCTGTAAAGCACAATATTTGGTTGCCTCTCTGACTACTTGACTGGTCAGGTTTTCTAATGTTGGTGTGTATGATTCATTGGAAGAAAACGATTAAGCAAGATACCTTGTTAAGGCCTGCATCAAGCAAGCATCACTACCCTCGGGGTCCCTGCTCAGGTAGGTGGGGATGGGAAGAGGAATCTCAGGAGACCCTCTGGGTAGTGCTTTCACTGCCATCTGTTAGCTCAGAAAAGTGGTTCATTCTGTCTCAGGGATATCTTGAAGAATTTGCTGTTTATATCAGGCCTCCCACGCAAGCAAGCGAGATAATACGTGCAAATCTGGCCGACTACATTACAGAGTCGCCCTGCAATAAGTTGAGCAACGTATAATTTTGTAATATAAACACATTTGATAAAGATGCAGTTGCTATCATCTACTTTATACATTATAGATATTATTTAGATATAAACACCGTATACAGAATAGGTAGTCTGGCACTCTTTGGAAGCAGGGCCACCTGTCTAGAAATAAGGCAGTTTCTTCTGGAACTTCACCCCCCCTCCCCCCCAGGGAGAGCCAGAGCAAACTCACTTCCTTGACTTCTGATAAAGTGGCTTTCTGTGACTTGCCACACCCCTTATGACTGTGAATGAAGAAGAGCCCCTCTTGGCAACTATTATGGGAACATGGATGACATGCTTTAAGAATTCCAAATAGCAATAGCAGTTAGACTTATATATCGCTTCATAGGGCTTTCAGCCCTCTCTAAGCGGTTTACAGAGTCAGCATATTGCCCCCACAGTCTGGGTCATTTCACCCACCTCGGAAGGATGGAAGGCTGAGTCAACCTTGAGCCGGTGAGATTTGAACCGCTGAACTGCAGGTAACAGTCAGCTGAAGTGGCCTTCAGTACTGCACCCTAACCACTGCGCCACCTCGACTGGTGGTCTCCAAATGTTGCCTCTCTTTCTTATAGACAGTGTCCTGTAGTTAAACTGATGGGTTTATCAATGAATCATGACACAAGATAGATGTAGCAGGTGAACTACTTTTTTTTTTTTCTTGGAGCTTTGCTAACACACGGAAAGCAAAAATAGATCCAGTCAGTGCAGTGTTGAACAGATACCATCAAACAATCAATAGTATTACAGCAATGGTTTTAAAATGTATTACAACAGAGACATAGCATTAATAATACAGTATAGTGCTTCTGGAGAAATAAATCCATGCCATTAAGTAGCTCAAATGTCCTTTGATCAGACCCTTGTCTGTAGAAGCAAAAAAAAAGGCATTTCTTTAGACGAAGCTGATTTTTTTTTTTTTTGGTACTCAAATAAGTATGGGTTTATTTTTCACTTTAAAATTAGCTGTAGTAACCTCATGTCTTCACTTAATTTTTTGCCTTTATTATAAGAAATGGGGTATTCCCCCGCCCCTTGGCAATAGTTGGGAGGTTTTGTGCTCATCTTGATTGATTGTCCCAAAGGTGCTTTTCTGTGTCATCAGGGTTGAAAGGACTGTGTTGTAGATTGGAGATAGATGACATCATATCCCTCTCCCTATTGAGAGGACTGTTCAATTTTGAGATAAATGGCCTCTTTGACCTAGCTCTAGGTGACCTTAATGACTTGCTAAAAGAATGCAAATGACCAGCTGTCCATTCCCCACCATCCAGTCAGAGCTGAAGTCCAAGTCAAGAGTCTTCAAAGAAAAACAAGTCCAGTTGCCTCTTGAAAAAGTACCTTTGGGACAACCATGACCTGTATGACTGATAATCTCCATAGATATCTTAACTGTTTGTTTTAATAATTTTTAGTTGAATTGCATTGCATTTGGCACAATGTATTTATTTTATCATTTAGGTTTTTTTTCATTTCAGGAGCAATATCTGTACATTGATTAAATAAATAAATTAGTGGGAATAGATACTTACTACTGCCAGAAGTCAAACTGTAGCACGAGGTGGGCCAGTAGAAGCCCATGCCCACTTAATGATTTGGTCCCGTTGGCTGCCCATCTAAAGGCCCTCTAGGACAGCCTCCCTCAAGTATGAATAGATTCAGATTTATTAAATTTCAGATGCCATAATTTGCAGTCATAATGGTCATGTTCTCAGAGCAGTAAAGCAATAATAACAATAGTGACATTAAAGCCAAACAATGGAATGTCTTAAAATCATGGAATTAAAATAAATGTGAAACACCTAAATGTTTTCATATGTAGCTGTCAATACATTTCCTGGATCAATCTTCAAGATGACAATCATATAGAAAAGAATTGCAAACTATTATGTTATTTATGTTTTTGTAAAATAAACATCTTGGACTTTCTATTGCTAACTTTAGTAATAAAATTAATAAAATACATTTTTCTAAATCTGTTTTTGTCACATCTTTGTTTCATTACTATTACTATTGTATGAGTTTTGTTTCCTTACTATTGTTTCCTTATTATTACTGCTATTTGAATGAGTTTTTATTTGCATGTTAATTGCTTGTTGTCTCTAGTAGGACAGGACATAAATGCTATTAAATAAATGTTTAAAGTCACAATAAACAAATAAAATTCAACAAATAAAAGTTACAGATAAACATGATTTAGCATAAAACATAATGCAGATGAAATACTAAAATCACTATTAGTAACAAAATTATACCATAGCGATAAAAGTGGTAGAAAATATTAGAATGTTGGAAAGAACCCAAAATATTGGCATGCTGAAGAAAAGATAGCAAGATGGACACCAGGCTGCCTTCCCTTGGAAAGCATTTTAGAGTTGGGACTACCACTGCAAAGCCATGGTTAAAATCTTGGCTTAGTGTTATGTAGCTGCTACTTCTATTTTTATTAAATGCAACACATGGTTCTGTGCAATGCTGAACAAGTATCTGGTGAGAGAGGAGAAGGATGCCCCGCTCCTGGGCACCTTTAATATGCTGAAATCAATTTAAAGCTGCCACTACTATAACACATATATTGGCAACTATTTATTATAATGGCATTTACTATGTATCTATATAAAATCTAATGGGTAATATTGGAATTCCTCTTAAAATGTACGTTAATCTATAAATACAATATTCTAATGAGATCTTCTCTGAAGACATAATGAAAACGTTTTGGCATATTTGATTCAAATATTGTGATATAGTTGATTCAAAAAATGTAAAGCCAAGTATTTTAGTCAGTCCAAATTGTACATACTAATCTCTTAACAGTATACTATAGATATAGTTGGTCTGAAAAACAAGAGATTAGATTTAATTCAATCAATAGCGTAACCTGAATATCAGCTGTTTAATTTTACCAACAAGGTTTGGTACAGGTAGGACTCATCTTCCAACCATTCATTTAATGACAGTTCAAAGTGATGACAGCACTGAAAAAAGTGACTTACAAATGTTTTTCATATGGACATTGCAGCATCCCCATAGTCAGATGATCAATATATGGACACTTGGTAGCTGGCATGTATTTCTGATGTTTGCAATGCCCTGGAGTCATCTGATCATGTTTTGCAACCTTCTGACAAGCAAAGTCAATGGGGAAGCCAGATTCACTTAATAACCATGCTATCAACATAATAACCTCACTTAACTGTGGTAGAAGGGCAAAAGATAGGCAAAACTCATTTAACAGCTGTCTTGCTTAACAAAAATTTGGGACTTAGCTGTGGTTGTAAGTCAAGGATTACCTGTCCTATAGTAAGGTAGGGAAGTACCAGAGGATGTATCTGGGTATGTTTAGTCTGCGTCTGTTCAACTTAAAGCAGAAGATTGCCGTGCCAGTTAACCTCTATTGCAAGAGAAAATCCCTCATCTGTGCACTTACATCAGGTGCAACCAACAGACTTCCACCCCCTACCTTGCACAATTCAAAAAAGCTACTTTATTGTTCTATGCCTATTTCCAGGAATCTACTAGAAATTTTCACCTGAGAAAGACTAGATAAGGCTCAGAAGCATTGGGGGGAGGGATCAGACTTGTTTAGATGATGATTCCAGATTAATTTCCCACTTGAGCCCTCCTTTCGACTAGGATGGGTGCTCTCCAACAATTTGGGAGTATATTGATCTTGAAATATTTCTTTCATGCTTCATGAACAACTCACATTTAAAATAGCAGCTTCAGTTGTAGCAAACAAACATGAAGGCTCTTAACAGTGCAATTACCATAAGTTGCATTCCTTGACATTGAGTACACAATTCTGTACAGTAACAGATATTTTGTCATGTTTATAAACTGTACAACTAAAATAGCAATCTATTAAAATCAAATGCCAGTTGGCTTATATGGGACAGTATTAGCTTCTTTAACAGCAGATGAACAAAGGCTAAAATACTGAAGATTTATAACCCTACATTTCATTGGAAAGGGCTTCTGAAAAACTATTAGCGCAAAAATGGGAGGTTGGTTGTGTAGGAGAAGTTTTTTCTAGAACTCTAGATAGAGTTATCCAACCTTGGAAACCGAATTGCTGGCTGGGGAATTCTGGGAGTTGAAGTCTCCATGTCTTAAAGTGGCCAAGGTTGGCCATCCCTGTTCTAAACAGTAGGTGACATTACTCTTCCATTTTCATAGCCACAATAGCAAGAATATATAGGTCATAGCTAACTATCCAGGAAAAGAAATTATTTTTAGATATTAAGCAAGCAGTATGTAAATCCTATGAGTCAAAAACCTATGTCATTATTTATACCTCTGCTTATTTCAGAATATTTTAATTTTACATTTCTAAGAAGTTAGATGTTCACAGGTGGTATTACAGTGACCACTGAAATCATATCAGATGCAATTTATAAATGGAAACTATTAAAAATCAATGTTGTTTTGAATTAATTGTAAAATATCTGTAAGTGGAATTAGCAATTTACTAGCCCAGAGGATGGATCTTCCTAAAAGATGAAATACAAACCTCTAGAAACCCACTACCCAATATTAGTATTTTCTGCCAAATTTATCTAACTTTCTTTGGTGTCCTAAAATCTGTTGTCAAATTAGAGCAAAACCAACCAATGAAATTGACCTTACTTTTATACATATGCCTTTTGCAATACTATAAATACTACTAAGAAATGGTCTGATCACTGCTTATCAGAATTTCAATAGAAGAGATTAAAAACTATTGAAAATATTTTAACCATTGAACTTATAATTTTTTGCATCTCAATTTGTTTAAGTTCTATTATGTAGCTGTGCTTAAAATGCTTACATAAAATAATTTTATCAGCACAACATACTCTAATACTAGGTTGGATAGAAGTCTTAAAAATGGATTGGATGCTTCTACTTTCCCCCCAAAAAATTACCTTCTTGTTCATACACTTTCATTCTAGATGCCTCTTTTCCAATGGTGGGTTCCTACTGGTTTGGACCAATTCAGCCGAACCAGTAGTGGTTAGGCGGCTTGGGTCGCTGGAACCAGCAGCGACCCAGGCCTGCCACGTCCTTGAACTGGTTCTCCTACATCGCCATCTTGATTTTTGATTCTGCGCATGCGCAGAACAATTTTTGTTGCACATTTTTAAAAACATTTTGCACATGTACAGACCTATTTATGGCAAATGCTACGTGCTTGGAGTGAAATGGTGTGAAGGTGGCAAGAATGAAATTGAAGATTGCAATATTTTATCAACCCCAACCTTTTAGATGCAAACATTTAGATACCAAATTTTTGCACGGACCAAACCGGCAGTAATGCCGGCAGCCCCCCACCCATGCTCTTTTTCCCTTTAGACTGTTTAGCCCAGAGTGTGGTTCAAATAACTTACCTACTTAGCAACTA